ATACATTATTAATAGATGATATCATATCCAGAACTACTGGACAAAGCACTACAGAGGGGCGCTATGAAAGGAGCTCTATGTGCTGGAGACTGTGGCAGAAAAATACAGTTCAAGTGATATTATTTTATCACCGCCGCCTCACACTCCCTGACCAGGCAGTCTTTACAGGCTAATTTTTTGGACAAAGTGGAGTTCATAGAAGAAGAATATAGTGAACACTGTATTTCTTCCTGCATTTGTGGGTTTGAAATGCACTGAAACATTGATGAAGTATCAAATGACACCCAAATACAAGTTTAATGGATTTTGAAGCACAGGGATACTTTGCTCATCCTCCTTGACTGCAGTGAGTGAAGTGGAAATCTTGTGCAAGGATCTAGAGTTTTCCTTGCAAAGCTGCCTCCCTGTGTATAGTAGCAGGGGAGCTGTGTCTTATCTGATGTGCCAATTCACTGACAGGAGGCTGTGCTAATGTGGGACTGAAAAAAAAAAAAAAAAAAAAAAGGGTCAGATTCCCCTGTTTTGATTCAAACGTGGAATTGTTCAAAAAAAAGGTCAGACGCTCTATTTTGATTCATTGTCATCTTGAAGTTATGATGTGGAGCTGTGCAGTTTTTATGAGTCACAGCAGCAGCAGCAGAAGCCGTCTTTCCGACTCGTGTGTAAACTTCATGAGTTGCAGCCGCTTTTTTCTTTTCTTTTTTCGCCATCACAAAACACAACTCAGCGTTACACAAATCCGGGTCCGTCCAAGAGCAAATCCTCAAAATGGACCTCTCAGCACTGCCCATCGAGCAGATAAACTATGTCCAGCTTTTAGTTTTACGGTCTCTCTTTATACTGTACACATATTTGCACGCAGGCATTATCACATCAAGCTCCATTAAAAGTGCATAAGCCTCTCAATAAGAGTTTTATAGGCAGTGTATGCGTAAGGTAATATTCTCTTTTTAAGGTCAGTTTCAATTGTTTTTTCTCATGGGAAACAGCCGATTGATAAAGAGCAAACAAAAAAAAAACCTCTTTTCTGAATGCTTGTCCTCCATGGCCTCAATGAAGGTTTCATTCCTTTATATCATCCAGCCCCAATTCCCAGCATGCACGGCCATTGTGGCTCTTTCAACTGGGAGCTCTCCATTGACTGGCTCATTGTCCGGCCGCTCTTTTGTGTGGCGCTATCACCGGAGCACAATCTTTCACCTGAACAGCACAGGAGCGCAGCCTGGAGATCGTCATGTATAAGCTACTGAGTCACCCACGCAGATGCCAGACTGCACAATTAACCCGCCGCTAATTAAGAAATACTCACATATCAGCTTTTTAAAAAAATAAAAAAAATAACAAATCTCCAGCGATGCTTGTTAATAAGTCAGTTATTCGTCAGCGTGCGTCACACAAAGTCTTATATTACCGCTCAAGCTTATATTATTGAGAGGAGTTTTTTTTCTTCTTCTTCTTTTTTTTTTAAATCTAACAATGCACGAGCAGATGTTTGAAGCGTGGCCCTCGGCAACACAAGGCTAGTTAAGATCGATATTGCTTTCAATATTTCTTTCCTTTGACAGATAACCAGTACTGAGGAAAGTCTTGATAAGAGTGGCAACATATGGATGTGGCGAGGCTCGCTCTCTTTTGATTGCGTGACCCGGTGACCTCTCCCTGTGTTTGAGAGGGGAGGCAGCCACATGGTACGGTGGGGGTCTGTCAGGCTCTGGTTATGGGGCATTATTGACCCAGGATTTATAAATATTTAATGCACACATTAAGATCATGGTGGAGGGTGGCCATTAGAGTTCTCCAATAAAAGAGGCTCTCACGATGATTGAGTGGTGTGGCAGAGCTGGGAGCTGCTCGTTGGGTACAGGGAAACCTGCTGAGACAATCTAGTGTTCCTCCAGCCTGCCTGCTAGGCTTCGGAGCTCTTAAAACTGGCAACAACAGAGCAAACTTCATCAGTCATTTTTGATTGTACTTTTACTCTCAGAATTGTTCTTTCTGTGTCTTTTTATTTTTTCCACTCACACATACTGGCTGGTTTTTTTGTTATGAGAGACTCTCTCCTTGGTTTTATTTTGAAAAGCTAAGACTAAAGATAGTCTGTGTCTGGCAAAATTCTGTTTTTAATTAGTCAAATCGTTAAAAGGACCAGAGCAAGCAAGGTGATAGATCCAAACCTGTGTATCAGAAGCAGATAGTGCAATGTCAGGAAAAGAAAGAAGCCCATGTGTGGCCATTGTTATCAGACACATTGGATTATCGAGGGAACGATTTGAAGCACAAGGCGATCGCTGCTGAAAATGAAATCTCTCTTTTTGAGTGTATCTGTCCTTTGCGCTATCAGCAGCTCTTGGACTATCTCTCCTGCACCGTCAGATCTTCCACCCCGTGCATGCCGGCTGACATAATAAGCAGTGATATGCTGATTGCCACTCAGGTTCGCCGACGTTTAATTGTGCATTAGAAGGAGAGGTGGCCTCGGACAATGTTGCCTTGATGAGAAATTGACATTTTGTGACCTGCTCTGGGCGACCACTCTGGATGCCTGATAAGATGCTCAGTTGTTTTTAAGGAGAGCCACTATTCTTCCCTCAAACACTTCTCTCCTCCTGTTTGACCCACTTGATGAGTATAGATTTCACAGCGGCCCCCCTTTCAGCGCTCAAACTATGAGAGGTTCAAAACGATACCAGCCCTTATAGACAAAGGATAACCTTGCTCTTTCAATGTATTGATTCTTTATTAACTAGGTGGCTTAATGCAATGAAATGAGGGATTTGAATGAGCCCCATTTGGGCTGCTTTGAATAAAAAGCTTGCACTGTTTATGAATGACTACAATGAACCTTTGAAGCACCACAGATGCAGGGTATGCTGATACAGAGACCAGTAGGAATATGTCACAATGTCAGAGTGCTGTGCTGAAAGAATATGACTATAAAGAGCAGTTTTCATCTTTTATGGATGTTACACTTTTCCACAGGTTTCAAACAGTTATCTCTATGGCAAAGTCTAAACACTACAACTTACAGACGTATCACAGGTTTGTCCTCAGCAGTGTTTACTGTCTTTTTCTTTGTCCTGATTGTCAGTTTGTCTGCCAGCCAAACTGCACTTTAAACTGAAGGAAGTCCACAGTTGAGGAGCTATTGTGTTTTTACTGAAAATTTTAATAAAACATCACTTATTCATTTCTGTTTCCATTCCAAATGTTGACATTTTTAAATTTTTCTTCCCTGTAAACACATGTAAGCTATGTGGCAGAGTCATAAGTGGTGAGTAAAAATGACTTCTATACATTCTACAAAACAGAAAAAAATACAACCACAAATGGAGTGTTTTTTTTAGCTCCAAGGTTGTCCCTCATGCACATTAGTCTCTATTGGATCTTAACAACTATCATATGGGTCACAAACAATTTATTTGACAATACAACCAACAAAGTTTTCTCCAAAAATGGTCTGTATAGATAATTTAAAATCAATATAAAAATAAACAATGAAGTTTGACTTCCCCTTTAAAAAAAATGGACAGAGAGTCTTGACGGAGTAACACAAATTTTTTGAGGATACACATGAAATATATGCACATTGCATTTCATCAAATACAAAAAGAAAAAGAAATGAAGGCAACAGTTCTTGGCTGAATTATCTGTGCTGCATCACTATATTAAGGGCATGACGATTAATACATACATAATGAAAAGCAATATACAAAATTTCAGAGATAAATACATTATTTATAGTTGATATGTTACAAAATTTCCCTCAGTGAGCGCAAGTGTGTGTTTGAACAGAAGATGACAATGAACAACTATACTCCTACATTCTCAATGGGTTTTCTTTTTTTTTTTTTTAAATGTTTTTTTTTGTTGATCTAAAAGAACATGAAAAAGACAGATGTATAAATATTTAGCACAAGTTTGGCAATATCACAATAGTCTACAATTTTTTTAACCACATAGAAAACACATAAGGGAGTTGGAGCTAGAAGGGAGAGACTGCTCCTCATCAACAAGAAACAGACTTCACAGTAGCCTAGGAATGCATTAATATACAGTGCTAGCAAAAAAGTTGAAAAACATGGCAAAACACACTTGCTTTAAAAGGAAGCTCTAGACATGGAAGTTCATCATATTCTTCAACAGAGCAGTGTTTTGTACACGTCATTGTCCTTGTTGAATCAAAGAGGATTTTTTTTTTTTACTTTTGAAGATGATTTCTAGCTACAATAAATTACAAAATTTAAGTTAAAATGCAGGAATGAAACATGGTACAACCTTCTCCGCCCGGCCCCGCCCTGTTTTTAACTCCTATTTGTTGTACTTTAATGATCAATTTTTCTACATTTATATATCTCATATATTTTCCAGTTGAAATTGTCTTGGCCCCTGTGTATTTTTCTCACACATAAAAATACAAAAAAGTCACATTATAAAGACACACAACTGTTGTGAATCTATTAAAAGAGAGTTGAAACAGAAAAAACAATTTCTGAAATTCGTTGGCAAATGTACTGTACATCAGTGTTTTAACTTTACAACCAGATGGTGAGTCCACAGAGTCCCTTCCAGTATCAGAGTATGTGGTTGATTGGACGAGTCCAAGGCCGAAGCACTACCCGACAGGTATACAAAATAAACCCTTCATCATCCCGTGTCCTCTTCAAGGGTGGTAAATGTGTGTGTGATTGTGTGTGTGTGTGTGTGTGTGTGTGTGGGGGGGGGGGGGGGTGGAGAGGGTGCATAAACAAACAAAAAAAAAAATCTCCCACAGAAAAAAAAATGTTCCACATGAAATCCTTTTTTTCTGCAGGGTTTTAAAAGTCATTTAAAAGAAAAAAAATCTTTCTTTTCTTTTTTTCTTCATGTTTACAAAACAGAACAAGTGGTAGGTACTATACATTACACCAGCTTTTTGGCTGTGTGCTGAGGGAGGTGGGGGGGGGGAGGGGGGGTTGTCCTGTGAAGTGTGTAGACTGGTGCTTGAGATGATGAAAGTGCATTTACATTGGAGGGACAACCAGGCCGGACATCGCTGCAGAAAAATAGAAAGAGGAGAGAAGAGATTAGTTTTTGGGCTAACACAGGTATAGATATTAAAATGAAAATTTACGATTATAATTGAATGTGTGCATGCATATGTCTGGGTGCTGTGTGTGTGTGTATGTGTGTGTGTGTGTATGTGAGTCTAGCCATCTGACACTGCACAAGTGCGTGAATGTAAGCCTTAATGTGCCTGTTTGCGTATGTGCCTGTGAGTGTTTGCCGTGTCCGCCGGCCTGCTGCTGCACGCCCTCCTAACGGGGAGGGGGGGTGGGGGGGGGAGAGAGAGTTTGAAAACCTCCCTCCTGCTCTGACATTTCAGCCCCCAGCATGCCAGTCTCGCTATGTGTGATATTTCTCCTGGCGTTGGGGTAATGGCAAACAGCGGCCCAGACTCCCCAGAGATGCGGCCGTGGTGAAGGCAGAGCAACAACACGGTCACTTCCCACAATGCTACAGTATAAGACACTCCTCAGACCCCCCCCCCCACCCCACCCCACTCTGATCCTTTCTAACGCCTCCTCTCCTCCCCTTGTCTCTTTCTCCTCCACTGTACAGCTGCATTAGTCCTACATTTCCCCGAGTCGTGCCTCGTGTCATTATCTAAGAGAGATTAGGCAAGATCAAAGGTAGCTTCCCTTATTTTACCAAGACCATCTGCTTAGGATATCATTAGCAACTGTACCTCACCCAGAGAGTTTATATATTCAGTATTTTCACACGTTTTAACAATTAGGCGACTAGTGAAGTGCTGGGATGATATATTATTATATTGCTCTGAGTATATTTGTAGAGTCATGCTTGAAATGCTTTTAAGTTTGCCAGCGCAGATGATGGCAAGGCATTGCTCATTAATTTCTGCACAACATGTATTAATAAGTATGAACGTGTAGCAAGATGAACTTTAATTTCCCACTTCATTAAGCCCAATGTTATTAATCTTGGGGCACACACTACGGCTAAGCTTGTTTTCAAAGCAATCATGTTGGTCATGACACATGCACAAAACCTAATAAACATAATTACTAAAACAATTCTGGGAAGGGTCTTTTCCTGCGACATCGGAGGGGATCATTTGTATGAGAGGGCAACAAGGATGCGCATATGAGCGCGTGTGTGTTTGCATGTTCCTATACTGTACTGAGTGTACTGAGTGTGAGGTGATATGTTCTGTTTGTGTGTGTGTGTGCTTGCGTGAGTGTGTGTGTGTGTGTGTGTGTGAACTGAAAGGTGTAAATTGGCCTGTCAAAATGCATATATTTGTAATGATTAATCCCTCACCAAACCGGACAGAGGCCTGAGCAGCGGTATCTGACCAGTAGTCCGTAGGGAAGGGATGAGGGGGTGAGGGGGGCTCACCTTGCAGTCCGTTGCCGTTGGCGCTGGTGCAGGAGGGGGGTGGGGAGGCCTGGGGTCGGACCACAGGGGCGAAGGCGCTCTTTTGTTTAACTGTGGAGACGATAGGGAGGCAGAAGGGAAGGAAAGGAGGGAGGGAGAGAGTGAAAACGTGCTGTGAGTAGTGCTCAAGAGGGAGAGGGCAGTTAAGGTAAGGCGAGGATAGTATTACTGCCAGGGGGGATACACGATCAGCACTCACAGGCCCCTACCATCAACATCTTGTCCAGTTGAACAAATACAGGTGGCATACGGTGAAAAATACACGTAAAAAAAAACGAATATTTCTCCTACTCTGAGCTTCATGTGTGTGCTCTCCAAAGTACTAAAACCCAAACAAGCTCCCTGTGAATGAATAGTAATATATTATCACCATCAATAATGTTATAACCCTGTCAGAGGTGATTCATAGAAGTGAAAACGAATGTGGGAGCTGGAATTAAATCAGCGGCAGCTTAGTGCTACTACGGTGTAGCGATAGTGGCAAGCTACTCACTTCCATATGGGGAGTTGGCAGAGGATCCGTTGAGGAACCCAGGGGAGCTTGGCACTCCCAGGTTCATACCGGCGTTGCCGTAGCCATTCATGCTGTTGCTGACGGTGTTGTAGCTCGACTGCTGCGGGGTGCTGCTGGAGATGTAGCCCCGGGGGGACACGCTGCTGGTGTTCCGGCTGTAACCCACTAAAAAACACGGGAGGGAGAAGGAAAGGGAAACTCATTCATTTCTGTCTCTGTAGTACAGTACTTACTGATGTTTTCTGATGATAGTAAATGAGAATGACATTTTTTTTTTTTTTTTTTGTTGCAGCAATCAAATCGTTTCATACGAGCACAAACTGCACATGCCAGTTTAATGAGAAATAAATTACTTAGACTTCTTTCTGCCTGTAATGTCCGTGCAATTACAGCAGTTTAACAGTCTTCAACAACAACTTTTCTTTCTGGGCCTTGATTCTAATGATTAAAAAAATGGAATTTAACTACTTTTATGTTTCTGAAACCCTCCCCCAAGGACCCCCACCCCACACAAGTCCCTGGATCCCACTTTTTTTTTGTGTGTGCACCCTAAAATCACATACCTTGGTCATTCCCTTGTGACTCAGACACATTGACTGCTAGCTGGCTGCTGAAGGAGTTGACTCCCATCATGCCGTGGGAGGCTGTGTTAGCGAGCGAGGGGATCTGGTTGTGGTTGCGGGGAACGCTGTACAGGGCCTCGGCGATGTCAGCTGCCCTCTTCAGAATGATCTCCTGAGAAGCGCAGAGAAGGCAGAGGTTTTGTTATCTATGTGTTTTTTTATAGCTGTATGTTTTCTCTTCTTTTTTTTTTTTGTTGCTTTGATGCATAGTTCATGGCTATATGGTGAGCGCATGTAGCCTACATAGCTCCAGATATAGTGGTTGAAAATACCCTTTGGTGATCTTAACAGTAAATTTTCAATGGTTTTCTTATTTAGCCGAGGTTTTAGCGTGCTGAAGCAGCTGCGTCCATACAGACCTGATTGTTGTGGGGCATTCCATACAGGGCTTCAACGAGATCAGCCGCCCTCTTCAGCAACACCTCCTGATGAAGAAAACAGAAAGTGTAAATGTTAAGAGCCAAACAGATTATGTTTGAGACCCCAGTGGTCCACACTGTAACAAACAATATCCAAAGCAACATCACCCAGCAGGCTTGTGCAGAGCCTCGGAAATGTTTACATATTCAAGCGCTAAATAAAAGCCGGCCTGATTTAAGAGGCACAGGCGCTGCTTTTATACAGCACCACCACTTTGCTCCTTCCAACCATGCAGAGCAGTGAATAATGTTCCCTATCTTAATTAAACTGGCATAGTCCTTTAAAAACAACACCTCACCCCTGATTCTGGGCTCCACTTTTGCTCTGGAGTTCAGCACTGCGTCCCCTCTCTTCAGAACAATAAAGTGAATTAGCTCTGGGTTAATCTAGTTCTGTTGTAATGACATTAAGGAATTTTTCAATTAACCTCTTTGACTGGCTGTTGCAAAGGACTTCACAAATGACTTCCCATCCAGCAAGAGCTGGGTGCTTGTGCCTTGGGGACACGGATGCTCAGGATGTGGTCTTATCCATGTCTGCATGCTTGCCCCCGCTTGACAATGCGGATTAGCTGTGTTGCTTTGGCTCTTAACACTGAAAATGAGTTGGCCCCAGATCCTGTTTCCCCCCACTCTGTTTTGGGCTTTGAGCAAGGTGGGGTTTGGCCCGTTTGTGTGTCTTTATCTGCTCTTTGAATTCAGCACTTACAATTAAATCCCTCTCAAGCAACCAGGCTGCTCTCTTTGTTTTCCATAATACAGAAGGCAATATGCTCAATGAAAACCCTCTTCTCCTTTTAGAGTGCATCTAATCTGACAAAGGCAAGTTGCAGACATGGCTGCTGCGTGTGTTTTTTAAAATGCTCGCTTGTTGTCACCTGCTGTAGAGCAGAGATTTGTCGACTGTGCTGTTAGAACTCTGGTTAAAAGCAATGCAAATCTGTCACCAGAAACATCTCAGATGGTGCTTGTTTTCTTCCCACATTCGCTGTGTTTTCTTTTGCGGGCCTCGGTAATTTGTCTGAAGTGTTCCATCACTTGGCAATAGCAGTGTGGGATTAAGACGGCAGCTGCCGTAAATGAATGTAAACACAGCCTTCGCGCCTTCAAACAGCGGCCTCCAAGACTTGGCCTGCATTTCCAAGGCACAGCGTATGTAGTGTGTACGGAGTGTGTGTATGGGCCCTTTCATCCAGAGGAGCATATCTAGCACACTCCTTGATTTATCAAGATGAATCACTGTAGAAGCCACTTCCAGCGTGTGCCATGCTCTCTTATAGAAACATATCGCTTAATCCACCCCAAGTTACCGGATGGGTGGCTCTTAGAATGGGCATTTACCTCTGAAATTGGTGTGTATGCTCAACGTTGCATGCATCTAGTTTGCATACAAATAAAGAATTATGGTTGTCGTGAGGCAGGTAGACTAAATGAGAGGACCAGCTGTCTTGATGTGTTCTCATCAGGCAGAACAGATTTCTCTCTCTCTCGCTGAGTGAGATAAAGTGGCTTTCTTTCTTTTTGTCTGCAGTTAATAATTACCAATAATCTATTCTATCATATTTCAAGATCTCCTACATGGCTCTCAATTTTAAACAACAATTAAAGCAATTAAGACTGTCGCGTTCACAAGCCATGTTTCATTCTCTGTAAAACGTCCTCTCCCTCCTTGTCCATATGGTACTTTGCAGCAGTGACATAAGGACAGCTTGGAAAAAGGAGGAGAGGAAACGATATTGCCTCTCATCCTTAATCTGTCGTTTACCGCGTGGTGTCTTAACTAACCGAGCTGACTCGCAAGGCTATGCTTAAGTGGCAACCTAGTCATATCGGCGAATGATGAGAAGTGCTGCACCCAATCAAGGAAGAAGTTTGTTTTCTTCTGACGAGACGCTTTCATGCGTATCAGCTCACGCTGTGAATACGATTAACACGGAATAGTGTTCTGAGGGCATTTCCATGTAAATCTCAATACTACTCCAGCATAAGTGTAATTGGCTTTCTTGTCATGGAGACATATCAGAACACACCATGTTAAATTGAAACAATTAAAGGCCTCAAATGATTTCTGTTGTTCTGTGACAAACGCGTGACAGATTTCTGCTTTTGTTCGCCTTGCTTTGCATAAAGGTCTCGTGTTCAACAACTGCTTAAACGGGGCCGCTGCGATGACAGATCACCCAAGATTTAGTGGCTGTTTTGCGCTATCGCCGAGAAAAATGAGAGGAAGCCATAACAAATGATGTGTTATAAGAAATATCTAACAATGAGCAGACGTGCTCTGAAACAGCCCCGATGTGATTCTTCAAGCACTAGATTAACATGGATGTTGTATTTATATTATCACAGTTAATAAAAGAGGGCCTAGGTTATGTAGCTTGGAGTGCTAATGCCATTATAAAACTGTAAGGCAATTACTCTGTTAGCTCTAGCCTGAGGTAATGAATGCATTTAGAAGCATAGGGCCATTAGATGAAGGTACTTCAAAGAGCACAGGAAGAGAGATTCATTTAAATACATGGGTAATTGCTTGACATGAACACATTTGTAATATTTTCTCCTTGTGGATTACACAAAGAATTGGAAAAGAATGGGCTTATGCTCATTTTGGGAGGAAAGAAAAGAATCAAAAGCAATCAGCTTAATAATAAAACAATATTGAGTTTCCACTTTTAATTTCATAATGAATCTAATTTGTTACAGAAGAGAGAAATTGAGTGTGATATAATGTGATATCCAGTCTATTTGTCCATTACTGCCAGAGGGCACAAAATGGTATTATAAATTGTCTTTTTTATATTATGAATAGAAAATTGTTTTATAACAAGATCTTAAAAAGGAGGGTGAATTCCAAAGTCTCTGTTCACTTAACGCGATGCCCGCAAACCAATCTCCTTTCTCATCACTTGACTGCTCACACTTATTACTTTCATATTCACCCTGGACTTTGCATTGAATTTTTATATCTCTACTCCTCCCACAGGGTCAGACTGTCATCTACGATGTTGTCTTAGAATTACGAGGTAAACTTCAATCAGAGGCAGCTTCCCCCCTTTTTTCTCTGTGTAGCAACAATATTAGCGTGCATCCCTTGCTATCCATGAGCACTCCCATATTGGCTTTCTGTCTCCTTACAATTACCACGTGTCTTACTGGTCCCAGGGAGAAGGCTGGTGGAAATCAATATAGCGCAGTAATATTATCAACTGGAGGGTGAAGTCATGGGAGGGGGGGGGGGGGGGGGGTGGGTATAGAGGCGGTGAGTGGGCCTGGTGTCGATTTGCCTTTCTGCTAATGCACACCGTGCGTCCTCCAGCTTTATCTTCTTTTTATAGAGTCTCCCTACCCTCACCTGCACCCTGTAATGGCTGTTCTCTATATGCCGTTTTCTGTTCTCATTCCAAATGTACATGCCAGCCGCAGCCCGCCGCCGGCTGTTTTATTGGGAATGTGCTTTTGACCCCGAGAGCTGACCCTCAGATGGCAGGCTTAACAATGACGAATCACTCGGTGGGATCATTTACATGCCCCCTGAACCCCATATTTGGGTCCATTAGAGAGCAAATCAAATATTTATGTTGTTTATTGGAAGTGCAGGGTTTCATCTCACTCTGTGATTGTTTCATGCAAAGGGCTGGGAGACCGTGCTATATTAAGTATACGCACAGCCGGGAAAACTAATCTTGGGTTCAGTGTCAAAATCTGTCTCCCAACCAAACAGCGACTTTGTATTCAAGGAAAGGAGTGAGGTTTCTGTGTAATAAAGCCGTGTTGAACATTGTGGCGCTCTTCTTTGAAAAGACACTGTGGCTTTATAAAATTGAGACGGTGTAGCTAGTTTGGTCAGTGAAGCCTGCGGAGATAGAGAAAGCCATGTGGATATTAAAGGTAAGTGTACTTTACCTTTTGGTCCGCGTTTACAGTTGAAATTAGAGCAACATTTCATGTCTAGGTGTTGTTTCCTGTCTCCACAGGGACCAGGTCTAATTGAAACACTTCATATACTGAAGCAGGGACTAGCTGTGATGTTCCATTTCTCCACATTGCCTTGGTCAAACGTCTGTAGCTACCACACAGTCTGGTCTTTATTAAATTGTCCGTTGGACGTTAATGATATTGCTGTGTTGCATGCTGGGATTTAATAGATAAGGTCTTTAAAGGTTTTACGGTATTATTAAAACTCCAAGGTGGCCACCGCTTTACTGCATGCCGAGGGCTTTTGAATGGACTAATCAGTCATATTATTACACTTGACACATCTGGAACGTCAGTCACCAAAATTGTTACTGGCAGGGTAGCAATTAGTGAAAACACACAGATAGATTTTATCAATAGGAAATGGGAAGAATAAAAGAATCAAAGGGAATGAAAAGAGTTAAAGAATCAAAGAGTTTCTGCAGAGGGAGAGAAATAAAAAAAAAAAGCTTAGTTTTCAATATGGCAGCCTATTCATGTGTCACACCAGTGTGACTAAAACTGATGTGGCTTTCAACTCCTTCACCCAGGTTCAAAAGAAAACAATAAGAAAGCCAAAGCATAATAACATGCAGTCTTTGTCTATTAGCTGCAGTAAGACTAGGGGGTTTACGGCACAGGGTTCTGTAAACAAAAGATTAAACCAAATCGAGCTGCAGAAAATGAAAGGAAAACATGAGTGGGGTAATGAGGGTGCAGACGTCGTTTCTGACCAGATTACCATCTCCACAGACTACTGGAGAGGAAAACGCCTGATTGAGCTATTTTACCACACAGAGAGTTTACGCCTCTCTCCACACACAAAAACCAATACCATTACCACGCTGGTTAGAGGGTAAGCCACATATGTGAGGCAAAGCTGTCACGGTTTGGGGTCACAGTGCGCTGCCTTGATGCTAATGTTTTGTTTATTCGTCACATTCAGAGCATTAAGGCATTAAAAGACAGACAGCTCTGTCTAACTGCTGTTTGGTAGGGTTTTTTTTTTTTTTTTACTTTACTGCAGAGGCTCTTTACTGACCTTTGGTAACCTCTCAGGGTCGCCGGGATGTCTGGGGATGACCTTCTGCAGCCTCTGGAAACCATAGTCGATGGTTGGCTCATTCAGGGCTGAAACAAAAACAGAGAGAAGATGGGAATTAGAGCTATTCCAGAGCTAATTTTACCAAAGACAGGAAGAAACTAATTGAGAAATCTGTTGGAATTTACAGAACAAAAGTCATTTCGGGAATGCCTAATTTCAAAGAAACCTCAGGGGTGAGGCGATGTTTTATGAAACATCATCAACTCCGAGGTGGCAAGGGACGGAAAATGACACAGGCTCCTCTGACACTTGTGTCACCGAGTGTTATTCCATTAACAGCGGTGATGACCTACATCAGCCTGAGAATCCTTCACAGGGACCCTCCCCCTTTTTATCTGCCCAAGAATATTGACTACAGCAAACTACATAGCGGGGGTCTTTTAATCTAACAGAGCCTTAATAATCTGTGAAAGGCTGTCCACACATTGATCTAGTGTAAGTTGCTGTCATTTTACCCCTTCTGCACCAACTGTACTGCAACAGTGGGCCTGTGAAATACGGCGGCAGATCCCATGGAGCCATTAATCTCTCCCACCCCTCAAATAGTAATCTGGGGCATGAGGCATATTGGGCGATGAATCAGAGGCACAAAGTAAATGAATCATAACCCAGACTTTGGTGAGAGCAGGGTCGTTTTATGTCTGACAGTCCTAATGGGTAATTGAAGGCTTCCTTACAGCTCCGTCTGATTCTAAACAATCATGTGTACACTCACAGGCAGGACAAGGAAAAAAAAGGGAGGGAGGGCAGGGGAGAGGGGAAGGGGTGGAAGGGAGGAGAGCGGCGTAAAGGGGGAAGGAACGACTTAATAGAGAACATCACTTCTCAATGTAGATATCATTTTCAGGAGAGTAACTCCGGCGAGCGAGGCGCTTCATAAATCAATGGCTTTCTATGGAGACTAATAAGAGCTGCCTGCCTCTATTCATTGTTCAGCCTGTAATTTGGCCCATCACTCATTACTCAGCATGTAATTTCAGCATTAACACCGCACAGCTCGCTGAACCTGCCGAACACCACAGAATGTGAATGCAAGTGAACGTCACCCCCCTTAAACACACACACACACACAATCACACACACTGCACAGTGCACACACACACAGGCAGGCAGCGGGCCTACTGAAGCACAAACCTCGTAGTCACTGCAGGAAAACGAGCATTTATGTTTCTCACTCTTTTCTTTTGTTCCCTCTCATCTTCCATACACATGCGAGCATGCTCTCACACACACACACACACACACACACGCATACTGTACCTACTCACGCATACATACAGCAAGCCTTGTACTGACACATGCACCACTTCTTCCAAAACCTGTATACAGTAATTGCCAGCTCAAGCGTGAGCCAATGGAGCAATTATGTGTTCAAGCATGGACAATGCAGGGTGCTAATCGATAGCAAGGATCTAGCTTGCAAATCCTGTGGCAAATGGGCACACCTGAATAAACCCCACGCCACACAAACATACACTGCTGGAAATCTGATTTGACATGTCATCATGCGTCCCCCAAACGACAAAGGTCTACTTGGCTATGTGGGGGAACGCCATCTTCTCCTTAATAAAGGATTGATCTGCCGTATTGATCGTACATGACAAGGCTGTAGCGAGGAATTTGCCCCCTTTCTTTTGTTATTTCCACCCCCTTTCTTATCTATGCACTCTGGCAGTCCCATACATGTGGATATGTGTACACACAGGAGCATGCATATGTGTTAGTGGATGTGTGTGGGTGTGCACGTGCCCGGCTGAGAGGGTGTGTGCGCACTGCACGGAAGCCCTGCCAGACCCCGCTGCTCAGTGTGATGTAAATTGTGTATGTGTAAAAAGCACTCCATAATCAGGCCATCCATCATCAGAGGCTGTCAGTGGGCTCTCTCAGGGTGATACATCACGCTCTCCTGTCCTCTGCCTCAGCTGGGGCCTGCACAACCCGCCAGGCATGCTGGGAACACAGCCGGAGAGACGTACAGTACAGGACGAGACCTAAGGTTGGGAGAGGTGTTCTGTTTGATGTGGCTTCCCAATGATAATGATGCCCTGCTGCAAATGCAGACCTAAGAAATATAAAGAATATGGTCTGGAGGGTAGGATATCCTGTACCCTTAAAAAAGAGGTATTAAAAGCCTACGGAGGGAGAATTTTAAATGTCTCAAACAGCACCACCCTTCCATTTAAACTCGTCTTGGTGTGGGTTTAACACATGGCTCAGAGTTGTGCAGCGGCAGTCCAAGCGCCAAGCATGATCTCTGCATGTCGACATGTCGCCATCTCATCTATCATGGAGATGATCTTTGTAACAACCCCAGCGTAATGAAATTGGTGACACAGTCCGCCATCTGCTATTGATTTCATGCAAATGCTTTTGACAGCTGATGGAGACTTGCATTAGCGCTAAACGGTGCTGTCAGTTGATGAGTTGACAGTTTTGTAGTCGTAGCATGTACACTGGGTGCAGACAGACACAGACAATGTCAATAATCCTGTAAGAGCTGCTGATGATATATACTGAGCACTTATATTCAATCTGGACAATAAATGCGTTATGTGTGAGTCCATCTTGTTGCTCCGCACATTTTTCCTCCACGGCAAAGATTTCCTTTCATCTGCTGAGCTTTCACAAGAATCATTGGGGCTGCTCTTTGTACATTTTCTTTCACCACACATGTTGACAGAAGCCTTATCCCCTCTCTACATCCCCCTTCTTTTTCTCCCTCACATCTTCATTCCATGTCTTTTTTAATCCCGGTGCAACATTTTGTTCCAACTTTACACTCTGTTGTTAACTTCACTCTCGCCTAAAGCAGGCAAATCTGCTGTGCCCTTGCATGACTCCACGCATGCCAAAATTAGTTTGGCCCTCTTCGTGCTTCCAACATAATATAGTGAAAGAGAGATGGGGAAGGGGGAGGGGGAGGGGAGGGGGGGATTAGGTAGGGGAAGAACCCATCTTTTACCCCCCTCTTCTGTACAGATTCAGCAAGGAAACATGAAACCCTCCACACACATCCCATAAATCCTGTTCTGGGTGGGGAGTCTAGCCGAGGGGAGGAGGGACCCAAGGAAGGTGGCGGTGGAGGGACTCAGGAGGGAGGTATGATAGGGGCCGGTGTGTTTGTGTGTGTGTGTGTGTGTGTGTGTTGGGGGGTGTGGGGGGTCGCTGGCACGTTCCAGTCACGCCCGCTTCCCGGCTCGCGGCCAATCAATACCACTTTCCTGTTTTAGAGGCGGGTAATTATGAGGTGGAGAGATTGTGTGACCCCTCACCCCTGCTGCATTACTCGCCTGATATTAAGATAAATTGCCTGATTTTGGGTAAACATATGCTGCAATTCAAACTGTCAGCACTGGTTTGCTCAGGGATAATTTGTATTGATCTCCTGGCTTCTTCCCCATTTTGCTTACTGACCTCACGGATAATTAGAGAAAAAGAGACACGGGGAGGTAAGGCAGGGCTTGCATTTGAATACTTTGCAGAAGCGATGAAGAGCACATGGGATAGGGAGGGGAAGGGGAAGGGGAATGTGGGGGGGGACATTATGGACTAATAGAATTTTCATTTGCTTTCATTTTCTTTCCAGATTTAGACAACTTGCACGTTTTGTTCAATTACAGCTCTAATATCTTTTCCCTTGCTCGTGCTGCACATAGAAAGATATAATTGTTCATAAATATGTCGCCTTGGTTTCATTTCAGAGATAATGAGAGTTTAACAAAAGCAAACATCAAATTCAACAGCTGATAAGTAAAAGAATTGTTGCCATATTTGACTCAAAAGAACAGCTTTCTTCCCTCTTCCCTTTTCGTGGAGGCTTTTGCAAATATTCAGTAATTTTTTTCACACTCTAGAGACCGAATGATCATGTTTCAGAATATGAACAAATGGAATGCATGACTCGGTGTGCAGCTGTGACCATATCATTTCCAATTTTGAATATCACACATGCGCATGAGCATCCATGGCAGGGCTTCAGTGGAATTTCTTCTGCCTGGAATGTGCACTTCCCCAATCTCATTCTGATCTGACGCCTTAATCTGCCTTGTCCTTTCATGCAACAGACGCATTATTTATTTTTTTCGGGAAGGGCTTCTTTAGCTGCCATGGCTAGCCACTCCACTTAAAATGTAGAGTGGATAGCGTGTTACATGGCATTTGAGTGTGGTCTGTTGCTCCTTCTCCATGTTCTCTGGAAATAGGACACGAGTAAACGCTCCACAGGAACACTGTAACATGGCCGACGTTGGCAGCCAGAAGCGCTTACATGGCAATACAGCGCATAGGGCCCTCGGTCTATATAGAAGTGGATTGAACACAAGTATTGACTTACAGTATGGGAGTATAAACATGGGGAAATGTTTGAGCAAAGCAGTAAATTTAAGGGAAATTGTTCCTTGTTAAGTCTGTGAGCCTGAATGGAAGCTCGCACAGAGTACTAGCATTCCTGCCAGCCATTACAGCTTATTACGATAACTCTATCTTTCCAGGAGATAAAAACCTAGCCTTGTTGCCATTTGCCAGCTATTACTTTCGCTAATTATACTTAACTGCTTCGAGCTTATCTCCACTCCTCCTACACCATTGAGCAGTTATTTTTTTCTTTCCCCTTAACACAAATTAGAGGTGGAGTGGGAGTTGGAAAAGGGGGGAGACAGATAAACAGTGCAGGCAGAAGTTCATTCAAGTGTTATTGCATTTGTGACTTGTCAAAGTGAAGCCTTCTCGGCACCTGGAGTCCGTTAGATGGATGCAGTCCAGAGCGGCGTCAAAAACACGTAATGACCTCGTCTCGCTGACTCTAGCAGAGAAGGAGTGGAAATCTTGCCTAAGTTACTAAAGAGTTAAGCCTGAGTACTGAGAATATGTAGAGAGTCAGATGTTGAGAAGTCATGCTCCTGCTCCAAAGTAAAGATATGTTCCAGTTTAAAGAAAGTAGAAAACACACATGCAGGTGTAGAGTCCATCTTGTAAAAAAACAAACCAAGCCAAATTGGAATTTTCACAGCAAACCCACGCAAAGCAA